ATGTGTGTTGTTATCCCCAAGATGAGTCTGTGTTTTGCCCGCGACCGTGACTGGCGAGTGAGCCCACCCTGTCCTTTGTGTCGACTCTCAAGCCCTTTTGGTTGCATTTATCTCCTCCCCATCCCTCAGGGGATGGGGTAGGGGTGAGCAAGCAGCTGCGGGGAGCTCTTGAAGCCAGCTGGGTAGGCTCAAACCACTACATCAGGAAATATGAAGACAAAAGTGTTTTCCTTGATCTTCAAACCGATGTCGCTGTTGCTCTTTTCTCAGTCAGTGAACACATGTATGGTAGAAAATGTTTCAAGCATTTAAGTGTCTTCTAATAAATGTAGGCAGTAACTGATAATCATCACTTATTCAGGAAAGAACATAAGCAGGTGCTGAACCTTATGGCTATTCAGGGAATTACATGCTTAAACAAACATGTATTAAGTGCTCTTTTGTGTTACAGGCATCTATGCAGAATATTGCTTAGTGAATCTGAAAAAAAATCGGCAATATAGCAAGGAATTCTGTTTTGCTACTGCAGATGCAGCTCTTCAACCAAAGAAAGAGTTACAAGGAAATTAACTTGCTTGGGCTCCAATACTAACATGCATAATTATTTAACAGACTACGGGGAAAATGGGAGGTTTGAGAGGAGAAAAGGTCTTTGTCAAAGACAGAAAAATATTGAGATTCAGGAAAGACAGCAAATTTTGAAATTGTACAAACACCAGAAGATTTATACATACAGCTCTATTTTTTCTCCTGTGAGCAATAGCATGTATATATGTAATGATTTTTTCCAAGCTACATTTGAAGATCTTATTTTTGGCTATAAGTAAGAAATATCAACGCTTACCAGTATACAGTGCAGATTAGTTAAGTTGACTACTTCACATACAGTTTTGATTCGGTCTATTAGTTTGGAAAAATAATTGACCATTTCTTCCCTTTTAATTATTTTTGCGTATCGAGGGAAAGTTGGTGGCAGCAATCTCTGATTAACCAGGGGCTCGAAGCCCATCATAATGGGATGATCTAATGAAGGAGGAGGGGAAAGAGAAAGCAAGAGAAAAGCTGCATGTAAGCTGTGTTTTCAGAACTCACTTCAAAGTATAATACAAATCATTCAATTAGCCAAAATGAACTTTTTAAATGACAGTTAACTCCCAGAGGCACTAACTACCCAGAGACAACAATTAACTATTTAAAAAACCCAACCCTCAACACCTCAGCATATACCTGTACAGACAGTGAGGTGGTGTTCTCTATTTTAAAATGGTACATACAGTGACCTGAAGGGCAACCCACTTAATCAACAGTTCATGCTATCTCTGGCTTTGAAGCAACATTATTGCTTTCACTATTTCATAGTGAAATAAAATTAAGATCAAACCATGCAAATCTGTAACAACTGGTGTTTGTATAATGAATATTATTAGTTCAAAGTAAATAGTAATTTTTTAAAAAATACACATAGATGTTTATTAAGACAGCATAAAGAAAAAAAATGGTAAATGTTGTTACATACCTCCTTTAGTGGTATCATTCTGTGCCTGTATACCATGATGCAATGAATTGTGGATGGCGGAAAGCAGGTCACCTGCCTGAGTCATTAGTTTCTGAGCTTCTGCAACTGCACTTGTCTGAAAGGCACGTCACAGTTACTCACATTACAAACCAACTTATTGTGACTATACAATTAATGCCAGTATCAGAATAAAGAATGATATTAGGATTATAATCTTTGGATACTATCAGTTCTGGGAAAAAAAAAACCCTACAGATTTTTGTGCAATAAAGTGTTCTTTATATTTTACACTTCTATACATATGTTTAATACTGTATTTTTTGCTGTATAAGATAAGCCTTATCAATAGTTGCAACTGGAAATCTACTATATGACATATGCAAATCCTCTGGTTTTGAAGGACTGGGGCGGGGGGTGCAAAAAACTCCACAAAACTCTTCTGCCAAATGAGGCAGAACTCCAAAGTGCAAAAAGGAAAAAAATCTATCATCAGAAAATGCAGACTTCTTGAGGATGATGGATGTCCATTAGAAATCTTGATTCATGATCTGCTGATGCACTTAATTTTCTGACATCCTACAAATCCAAATGGGTACCATTTAAAATAGCTCTTTGCAAAATCTAAAATCTTGCTTTAAAAATACTGGACTAACAGTCCCTGATCAAACTTCAAATATTTGAAATGTCAAGTCAAATTGAAACTTGTCTTCTTTTAGGAAAAAAAAAAAGTTTAAAACCCCCTGAAGATCTAACAGAAGCTGAACAATATCTGTAGCTCTGCATAATGTATGGTCACGTTTTATAGCATCCACAATCTACTAAAAGAATAACCTGCTAAGCAGATCCAATTCAAATCAAAGTAGCCCATGATGTAAATTTCATATACTTTAAGTAATCAGACTTTAGCAACACTAAGATACATAATCTGATTTACACAGATCATTAACTCACAGCAGTTAACACAGAATTTGGTTGTACATCAGTACAGATCACTTCTATGTCACAGTTCGATTTCTGATGTAGCTAATGGTCAAACTCAGCATGCAATTATTCTCACCAACTCACTTTTTCCTCAACACTGATGTCTATTAATGATACTTGCACCTGACTTTCAACTGAATCAAGGTCTTCTAAACTTCACAATATGCAGCTCCTCCAACAGCAAAATATATGGGAAAGACGCCGTGCCACGTAAGCAAGAAACGTGTTTATTTCTTTATGAAAATGGAAATAACAATAAGCAATAGATCGATATTGATCCATGTATAAAGAAAAAGCTATTCAAACAGAAGTTTTGTTTTATGCGACATGTGATTCTATCCCTTTGCCCTAAAACACACAGTTCCTTTCCCCCTCAACCATTAGGAAGTCTTATGTTTAAAAAAACAGGCAGATTGCATGGAAAGCTGTTATATTCCTCTTCTCAGACCAAAGAGGTCCAGGTGCAAATTCAGTATCACATGGAAGGAAAAGCTAAGAATTCTCTAGAGATGGACAAAACACTGCCCAACGTCAGGTAACTCCGCAGAAGGCGACTGAACTCGAGAAAGAAAAGTTTTGGTCACATCTGTGAAAAGAGCAATCCAAAACCCATATTTTTCTTTAAGCATTATAGAATGAATATTCTGTCTCCCTGCAAGGCCACAATAATGTCAGCTGCTAGTCTTCCCTGTCTTTTCTTTAAAGAAGAATGAAAACAGAATGGTTGTCACTGTAAGGCTTATCCAACCTGCAGCAATTCAGATCCACAGAATAATTGCTTGACATTAGAGATTGAAAAATGAGTATTTCATGCAAAGACACAAAGACCAAATGAACATACCTCTTTTTTGGTAAATGCTATTAGAACAGTAAGTAGTAGCCGGGTAAACTTGACTCTGCTGAACACAGCTAAACACTGTTGATGCTGTAATAAAAATATACTGCAAATTACTAAGCAATACGCATTAAATCCTGAAACTTAACAAACAAAAATCTACAGATTTATTGAAGTATGCTCTCTAGTCTTAAAACCATGATAACTACTACAATTCTGAAGAAAAGGTACAGCATTTGTAGCATGTCTGTACTGTTGTGAAAAAAGCACTAACACAAATAATCCTGACGCTTTGAGTAAAGCACAACCACTGGCTGTATAGCTACCTACTATGCAAGTGCCACTCAAATCTCATCTTAAGTGAACAACTACAAATTATTAAACCTATTTTCTCTCCTTTTTGCTGAAGATCTATGTTAAAAGTAATTTCTGAAGAAAATAACATTACTGGGAAAGGAAACTCACACCCCTTTAAATCAGCCCCATCAACTGCATTAATTACCACTCTTTCTGGAAGGACCTACACTGCTTTCTCCTTCTCTTCTTACTTTCTCCCTTGACAGTGAGGCTGCCAGCAGCAGTAAAAGCTGCTGGGAAGGAACTGAGGGAAGGAGGTACAGGATAGATAAGATCACCTACTTTTCCAATGGCTTTTTCTTGGAAGGCAGGTGGATAAATGGCAGCAGCATCGCTGTTCTGCCATTGGGATCGATCCAGAACTCTACCCCTTCAAAGCGTAAAAGCCTACCTGCTAGCCTGGGATTTGCTCAGGGCCATGTTTAGAGCAGCTCAGATATGACAGTAGTAGCAACACTGGTGACACACATTTCTCACAAGCTGTTAACAACTGATTAAAGTAATGATGTACTAATCCATGAAATCCCGAAGAAAAAAAACAAAACAAAACAATTCATTACTTCAAGTTCAACTTCTGGGTCTCTCTCTTCTCCTTGTCGACTTCGAGTGCTCTAGAAAGTAAAGGAATTTCAAACAATTTACTAAAAATTACAAAGGGAAGCCACTGATAAAATCCCTTTACCCTCTCCAGAACATCCATCTGTTAAATAACCCTAAACTCAGTTTTCAAGTTCAAAACCTCTTCACTAGGTACTTCAGTGATCCAAGACCCTCCTACAGTAATGAGACCTACCTGCAAACAGGCAAGGAAATGGAACAGTTTTATATTGTAAACTGTGGTAAAGGAAGATTAAGTGACTTCTTTAACATCACATAGTGTATCTGCATAAAAGCCAGAAGTTAAATACATGCTTTCTGTGCCCCTGCCCACTATTATCTTCTACATCATGATTCCATCTATTACTAGTGAAGCAACTATTAAAGAGTTTAGAGAAGTCTGAAGACTTCAGCGTCTTTAGCTAGAAGGCAAACTACCAGCACGTTAAACAAACTGTTATGGCAGTTCTTCAAAAAAACCCCCACTATTTAATGACACAAACCCACTGCATTCTTCATATTCCAACTCCCTCCCCCAAACCTACGTTAAGTACACTTGAAGAATAACTGACAGGGCAAACATGAGAAAAATACCTTCACTCGTCTTTGCATGTCATCTTCTACATCTTTCAGCATACCTGGAGAAGTCACAGTACAGTTAAAAGCTGAGAAGCATTCCTAGGTACACCTACACCACTCAGGGGAAAAGTTTTGAGGGGATATCAAGTTTTGAAGTGCTTTACATACCCATTAGCCAAAGATTATACAAAAAAATATTCTTTTGAGGGATGACGGGGATGTCTTCCAACAACAGGTAAGTCAGAGCATAGACTGATTAATCCAAAGCTAAAGTGTTCACCAATTTTCTAAAAATAAATCTATGTAAAGCTCAAGTATCTATCCAAAATAGTGCAGCAAAAAGCTAGCATACGTACTTCGGTATGTACCTAGTAACATACGTATGCATCGCTTTAGAACTATTAGACTGCTTTTTTGTCAAAAGCAGCCTGTTTAGATCACAACAATAGCAGAGAAGCAGAATTCAAGTACTGACTTTCCAATGGTTTGTATCTATCTCAGCCCGGGACGAGCTCATGCGCCGCCACTAGGGTGGCACATCTAAAAGCACTTCTGTTTCTCAGGCATTTGACAAAGAAACAGCTGAGCCTTTTCTTCAAGGAAAAGTAATTTGATCTCTCTTTTTACCAAGGCAGCAATTTTCACAAGACTTAACATCTGAGATTCCTACCAATTCATTAGGTTTGGCTGGGAGTAACCAACATGCTCAAAAGAGGAAGAGACTGAGGGACAGATAGGCAGAAAGCACAAACTTTACCTGTAACTCTAAGATCTGTCACACTGTTGGCCATTTTAAATCCATAAGTCATTGACTGAAAGTCTTCCTAAAAAACAAAAATCAAAGAATCAATATGTAGTGAAATATAAACAGCAGTAGTTACACTTTCAAGTTGGAGCCTGGGGGTTATGCTTTTGTTTGTTTTGGTCTTTGGGGGTTGTTTTCTTGTGTTTTTTTTTGTTTTGGGGTGTTTTTGTTTAACTAAGTCAAGTCCAGTTTTGTTCTGCATAACTGAACACACCCATGATTTCGGTGACTTCCCTGCCCAGATCCAGCTGGGGGTAATTATTTTCTGCATAAATCCTTAATACCATTATGCTCTTCAGATTTTCATCAAGAGCCACCCTATCAAAATGTTCCAAGAACTATGGATGCAAAGTACCATTTAATCCATTTGAGATATAGTCAGTAAGAAGTGACTTGTACAGGCTCAGAGGAAACAGAAATTGCTCTGAGCCCAGAAAACCAGACTCTGATTCCATTGCTAGATGGGCATTTCAGACAAAAGACAATCATGTTTATCTAAAGCAGAAAAACAAAAAATTGAAGAGGAAGAAAACCACAAGTAAAACTGGTTTCAAATGGTTAGCCAAAGGACTTGCATTGCTTCTTGAGTAAAATATTTACCTCTGATTCCAATACTCAAGCAAAATACAGAAAAGAGCATGAAACACCTCTATTGAAGAAGAGTGCATTTTAAAGAGATCAAGTCTAATACTTTTAGGAGGATGAACTGTTGCTCCTACAGCAATAAATTTCTCTAATATACTGTTTTATTAGTTATGGAGCCTACACGTAATGTTACATATTCAACCACAGGAGATACTGAACCACATACCTCCTCAAAAACAGCTGCTTTGTTAACCTTTTCTCTGGCGATATCACAGATTTTTAGGATCCCTAGAGCAAAAGCCTTCATAGCAGGATCTTCTATGAAGTCTGGATTATGAATATAAAGGCAAGTGAATACCGTCTGTGCCAAAGAATGTCCCTCTAACCATGTTATCTGGGGAAAAGAAAATTAAATATTTTACTCATGACAGCCTAGTCCTCATTTTTATATCTCCATTGCTTCAGTGAGTCATTAAGGAAGTCCCTATCATGGCAACCTTCCATCTAGCCAAAAAGGGCAAGAGAAGGTCTCTCAACCCTTAACCTTTGTCCATCTGGTGGCTGTGGCAGGCAGTAAGCTACTAAACCTTACAACACTATAAAATTCTGCTGTTGGATAAACCTCTTCTGCAAAGTTAAGGTCTATTCTCTGTGACTTAGAAATGACATTAAGAGAACATCAGATTTACAAGCCTCCTCTGTATTAGTACTGAATGAAAAATCCAAGCGGCTATGAAACAACTCAGCAATATTCTGCATGTTCTCTTCTACAACTTACAGTTTCTTTTCACGATCCCCTCTCTCTACTACTTTCATGCTGCTTGGAGCTACAAGGAAAGCTTCAGTAATTTAAACAATTCTTTCTATCTGGAAATAGCATAAAATACAGTAGGATCAGATTTTTAATAGGACTACTGTGCCTTTCAAAAGAGTCAGTATTGGGGGGGGGGGGGGGCGAGAAGATGAATTATGTTACACCATAATCAAGTATCAGTGGCCTTTACCTGTCTTTTTGGACTAAACTAATTTGAAATGTTCGTTTAAAAAACAAAGTAATTTTATTGATTTAATTTTAAAGAGTAACTGAAAAAAATTTGTATAATTTACTGAGGGAATTAAGACAAATACATAGAAAAAAAAAATCACAATTAACAAGTAACTGATATTTTTTTCCTTCTAAATGTATTTAAGTATTTTCTTTTCTTTCTTCAAAATGCCCCTGTAAGCTCAGTCAATATTGGCTGCACAGAAATGAGCAACAGAGTGCAGTAGGTTACTGCACACTCACTTTACAACACAGTCCAATACCAAGATAAAGCAGGCAGTCAGATACCATACATTAAACCCCCCCTCAAATTATAAAACCTTCTTGCATTACTCAAAATGTTACCAGTTCTCTGCCATAATGATTTTTTACAAATAAAAAATCCCAAAATCAAAATGATGCCTCTTACAATAGCCAAAGCAAATATCTAAACGGAAATTAAAGTACTATGTATGCATTTTCTGCTTCATGAAACTTTTTTCCTTGAGTTCTGCTTTTTTTCTTTTTTTAAAACTGGATTAAAGGATTATATTTTGAAAGCAAAACCATTTATTGTTAAGAGCAGAGAAATGCTTACCAAACAACAGAAACATGTATCCATTATTCCTACCAGCTCAGGTGAAGTGAGATCTTTTATTTTAATGGTGCCATCCTTTGAAAACAAAGAAAGAAGAAAACATAAAGACTGTGGAAGTCTGTAAGCAAAATACAACTTATTATTTATATAGCCAAAAAGGTAATTACAAATTGGTTAAGACTTCAGAGTATTTGTATACCACTAGCTTTATTGATCAGCTTCGTAATGTGCCCCAAATTCTGAAAAACTTCACTTTCCTATCATTGTGCTGAACACTGATCAAACATAAAGCTATTCAAAGAGAAAGCTAAAATAAAATTTCTCATTTATGAGAAGCCAATAAAAGTTTAAAACCAGTTAGCTGTCAACACTTCAATCACAAAACAGTATGTACAACCATCATAAAGTCTGAACGAGGAATAATATGCAGGACCCATTCTCTGGAGACTGCTTTTTACACTGCAGATACTTGTAGAGTTTTACTGCCTTCAATGTCAGGACCAAGAAGGCAGCAATCTGTTTTCTTTCACTTTATTTGTCCAATGTATGCAATTATGCATATATTCCACACGACTTAAGATGGACAATTTTTTACACAAGAGTTCCTTAGTCCGTTCAAAACAGGGTCCATGGTAAACAATATTTGTTCCTCTATAAGTGCAATATTTTTTCCAAAATAACAGAAAGTCTTTCAACCTCCCTTCAGCAATTTATCTTGACCATGGTTCAAAAGTTAATCATTACTGTGCATGCTGTTCAATTAGCCAGCTTCTGTTCAACGCTAATGAGCTGACAGTCTCATAAAGTGTTAATTTCCTCTTATAAGGAAGCAGGTTCCCATTCAGCTTAAAGAGGGAATAACCAATAAATCAGCATACAAAAAGACACATTTTGGGGACTTGCAAACCTATTTCTGAAATTCATTTATTTGAGGTATCAATATCCAACAATTTCACAGTACTTTTCCCTGGAAGAGTTAGCACCATTGTGATTAAGTAGGCAACAAAAAAGGTAAACATCACAAACTACTTCTTACTTAGCTGTCCAAAATCAAAAAGAAAAAATCAGTTTCAAGTAAAGATTGAAAACATTATGTTGAATTGTGCTTAACTGCAATTTGATAAAACTTTATCATACTTTTACAGACAGTGTAGGCGAAAACAGGGAAGTCACACGAACCTTAATAGCCTGCTCAAAGTTAAGAACCTTTCTGTTAACTTGGTTTCCAATCATACCAGCATCCATCTTGGGATCCATCATTTCAATGGCAGACATGGCTTCAAAAAGACCAAAACTAAGAACACCAGAAAAAAAAAGTTCTGAATGTAATTATTTCACACAAAACAGACTTCACAAACCAATGTAAAAGAACATAAGATGACAAACTGAGTCCACTGTATTCTGCCTACAGACAATAATGTAAGGTACGCGAACATTACTACTGATCTTCAGAGATCATGATTTTCAGGAATTTGAGGATCTCTCACTGAGTAAGTAAGAAAAGAGATGCCTAAAAGTAAAAGAAAACTCTTAGCCTTTTTTTCTAAAGCTGAAGAACACTCCTGAGCTAAATATCCCATTTCTAAATCGATGCACATTTGTTTCTGTACACCTCATGACACAGGATCTTTTTAAAGATCACATAACAAAATAAAGTGAACAAGCTGCTCTTTATTATGCTACATCCAAAAACCCAAGCAAGGTACGTCCCCCACAAACTAATGACAATATACACGACACAGACTGATAACAATATACACTGAATATACCAACTTTGTTTAAAATGGGCAAATGAAGAAAACTAATACAAAAACCCCCCAGCATGCGACAACAGATCACTTGTAGTCAGGGCACAAAAGCTAGTAGGAGAACCATGCCAAATGCAGACTGGCCTACAGAAAGGACATAGTCCCTCACCTTTGGTACAGATGATACTTATCAGAACTGCTGCATAAGCCTTTATTATATAAAAAAGCATGTGGCACAATCTAATTCCAAAAAGCACATTTGCTCTGAAACACTCTTACGTATAAACCTATACCTCAAAATGTGCTTTGATTCTACCGAGTAACCACTTAGCAACACCCTTGCACACATTTTTGAGCAGGTTTGCATTTCATACTGTGCTTCTGTTTTCTGAGCTATTAGTCTTAAATAGGCACTTTTTTCCTTATGCAAGTGAACAGACTTATGTGGCTAAACAATCCACTTTTCTCTTTAAAACACTACAATCTCACGGAATTCTTTAATGAATTGAGCAGGATTTTAGCACATGCTGCTTTTATGTTTTAATCTATTTTTCCTCAGCTTCCATTTTAGCATGTCATTTAAGGGTTATGTTAACATATGTGGATTTTTTATCCTAAACTTGTTAGTGACACTTGAGGCAACCAAATTTAAAAGCTTAAAGTCTTTCTGGCATTTTTTTATAAAAGCATATCCACAAAAAATAGTTCAGTAGGTTCAGTCGTGTCAACACCACTGATCACAAGAGGCGCTATAAACTCCTAAACTACACTGATTAACTGAAAATGCAGTGTTATGCTGGCACCATGAGAAATGTCCAGCATTCATACAGGTGCATCATATATAAACTAAGTACAATTAATACTCTGAATACTTCAACTACTTCACTCCAAGTAGAGGTTCAAAAAAGCTTCATTGATACTGCATGACTTGCTTATTAGTAAATGTTAACCTATATGCACTAATCCTACCTAAAAACCAGAACTATCCCACAGGCATACTTACAGCTTGTCGTGAAGCAGTTCTCCTAACTTCAGTTCTACAAAGGAACAGAACAGGATAAATAATTACAATCATCCTTCGAGCACAACTTTTCCAGATAGTCTTGTCGTTCACCAAACTGTCTCATGCTAAGAGAGACTAAGCTGCGAGAATCAGACCAGAAATTTCGACTCCACCTTCATTTGCTTTCACTTTACAAAGCAATCTCAAAACTGAAAGGCTAAAAGAACTCCCGGTGTTCAGTCTTTCCTCATGCCTCTCTGCTATTCCAACAGGTGAAGGGGTTTAGAATTACCAAATAGCAGCATCGGAATAGCCTGGGACACAGGACAGCAGTTTTCTGTGCTCCTCTACTGTCCTGGTTTGGGCTAAACCAGAACTAATTCTGTTTTAGTACTTTAACTTTTCAGTCAAGTCTCCTCTAACTACCAGCACTTTCTGAAACAGCAGCCTGTTTTTCCAGACAGTGACTGCTTCTAGCAGTGATAAGGCCTGGCGTTTATAGTTCATACCAAGGAACAGTGTGCAGAGAGGCCCTTGGTTATACTTGTTCTTATAGCGACCAAGGTCACTGCTAAATCTGTACTCCGTGTTGGGGTGCCGGGAGTGAAAAGGGTCACAGGCCCGTAAAAGGTCACACCTGCAGGGAGAAGCGAACCGGACAGGTGACCTAAACCTGACCAACAGAGTATTCCATCTCATATACGTCATATTCAGTATAAAAATGAGGGATCACGAGGGTCCCTCTCTCTTCTT